CACTGTCCATGCCATCATAGTCCACCAAGTGGGCTATAAGGTCAATTGCCAATGGCATATTGTCAGCAAGGAGGAGGATTTTGTCAATGTCTTCAACAGCATAACCATCATCTACAATGTCAATGAAGGTTTTTCGAGCAGCATCCTGTGCCAGAGGCTGGAGTGGTTGTAGAAATGGATGTGTCCACCGGACACTGGCTGGCCTTTCTGCCCCACGCATTGTGATCTGAAATAATAGTCTGAGCATACAAGTAACAAACTCTGGTTCTAACCTTACAATCAATGCCAGATGTTCAATATCTTCAAGTAAGGCCAAGAGCTTTTCAATATCGGCACGAGATTCCTTTGGCTCCCAGACAGTCTCCAAATTGTCCAAGATCAACAGCGAAGGGGGGCTGTTAGAGAAATACCGAACAACTGGTTTAGTGAGATCTTGTCCTGGCTTCAGTCCAACATGTTCTCCAATCAGAGCAGCAAGATTGACATTGCTTGATGCTGCATCACACGCAACAAAGAAACAATGCTGATTGTATCTGGCTGTGATTTGGGGGTGATGCAGAATAACTCTTGCAAGACTTGTTTTCCCCATTCCTCCTCCACCCAAAATTGCTATCCTAGGGATCTGCTGATCAAGTTGCTGTATAATGGTTGCAACCTCAACTTCACGGCCATGGAAAATTTTGGGTTGGGATGGCAGTAATGAAAATGAGTTTGAGCTGTGGGAGATTATTGTACAGTCGTGGAGCAGTTAATCCAAACACATACCTGTTACGGGAGCTGGACAAGACTCTGCTAATCTATTCCCCCAGTCATTACCATAAAGTTTGAAAATTTGACGGAAAACATACAGAGGATCCACTGTTGGAACTTGCTTCCTCTGAAAGAGCCGAGATCAGCTCCAAAACTTCCTGGTGTGTCTTCTGTGCATGTTGCCGCATGTCTGCCACCTCACTGAGAACTGTAGCACCCTGGACCTGAAGTATGTCTCTTGGTGAAAATTCCAGTGCCAACAGTATCAACAAAAGTCACCTTGAATACCTCAAGTGCTTGTTCCAGGCCTGTGTGACAGGCCTTCAACAATGTCCTCATTTCTCCTTGGCGGAAAAACTGTTTGATCTTGCTTTTCTCCTGTTCAGCTTCAACGTAAATATGGATCTTGTGAAGGGTCCTAGGCAAGTGAGAACCTGTAGTTTCATAGTGTTATGAACCATCTTACTCAGTGAATTTCCCCAAATTTTTTAGCATCATTGGTGATAATTCTCCAGCAGTGTCTGATTTCATATGCACCCATATCACGGCATAGATGAGCTCATGGATTTCCTCCAGCATCTGGGTACATTCATCTTTGTTCCTTTTAACAGTCTAGGAAGCTTTATAAAACACCAGAAGAGATAGATTAATTGGAGAATCTTACCTGCACAGCTGTCAGCAGAGAGTGTAAGGTGTTCAAGATTGGTTGCAAGAATGGTGTCTTCATGCTTTCTGAAAGTACACCCAAAGTGGTGACAGCAGCATTCAGAGATGTAACAATGTTGTTGAGTCGAATCTGAGCAGCAGTGGGTGGGACGGGCATTGTTGTAGTGATGACAAGGGCCATCGAGCAGTGTCATCCTTTATATCAGCTCTTGTGAGATCTTTGATAGTTGTTGGCAGTCAACAATCTTTCTTTGATGACATATGTCATCAGTGTAGATATGTCGGACTGGATGCCACACCACAATTATGTTGTCTCCTATTTTCCACTAAAACGGTTGGGAAGCAATCCTAGAAGAAACCTCGCATCTATATCAAGCCTTTCACAGACATTAACCAGCGGTCCAGTTTCAACTGCTCCCGGAAAGCTGAGAATCACGAACCCAGGAGTAAATCACATATGATGACAAGAGCTTCTCCCCTGAGTAGGTCTTGTGAGATCTTTGACAATCAACAATCTTTCGTTGATGACATATGTCGTCAGTTTAAATAGATAGGACTGGATGACTCCTAAAAAGGTTGGGAAGCCACCCTGGAAGACTTAACAATTGTATGTGCACTCCTCATTCATCCATATCAAGCCTTTCAGTCGCCCGCTTGCAACGAGGCTCCCGAGGCACTAACGCCACGGGCGGAATCTAGTTCTGCCGAGGTGCCGGCGAGGCGTGGCGAGGCGTTGCTATGTACTGCTATTTGCCGGGCACTGCCCCATCACCTCAGCCTGATCTTGTGACGAGGCCGTCTCCGGCACCTCGGCAGAACTCGCCGGGCGTCTGCCATCTGGGCGAGGGAGCGGCTGAAGTCTGAACGCAGTGGGAGGCCTCCAAAAATCAGCGCGTCCGAATTGTCTCGCAAATCAATATGTTCACCACCACTCCACGCGGCAGCTGGGACGCGCCCGGCGTGGGCGTACGCGGGAAGTCCAGCGGGAACGGCGGGAACGCTGTGGGCGGCTTCAGCACTGGCGTATGTGTCGGCGTTGGTGTCGTCTCGGGCGGCTTCAATATCGGTGTCGGTATCAGCATGGGCACAGAGGAGGTAGGCGCAGAGGAGGTGACCATCGACATGAGCGCCTTCACCGCTGCACGTGCGTGTGCGTGCGCTGTGTGTGTATTGGCCGCCTGTCTATCGGCGGTCGGAATTGGAACAGAAGGCATCTTGGAACGCGACGGAAGCGGGAGGGGCATCGGACGCGGGGCGCTTGAGTTTATGTCCTGCATTTGTGCCCGGGTGTAAGTGTCGCGTAGGAGATGGGGATGGGATGAGGACGGAGGGTACGCACCGACGCGGAGGGTGGGGTGGGGGTCGTAGGTATCGGCGCGGAGGCGGGCGGGAGCACAAAGGCGGTGGTATTAGGCTTGGTGCGCGAGGGGAGCGGCATCGGACGCGGGGCGCTCAAACGTGGGTCCTGCGTTTGTGCGCGGGTGTAAGTATCCGGTATTGCAACGTGTGAAGATGGGTGGACGCCCCGAGCCGCAGTTTGTTGCAATTGGGGCGGGGTTGACGGGCGCGGACACGGGTGTAGGCAGGCGAGGGCGGACCGCCGCACTGGCACCACTGAAGGACCTCGATACAGGCGCAGACCCAGGCGTAATGCGCGGGGCGCCGCCGGCGTCGAATGGAGCTTGATGCGCTGCACGCCGCCCACTATCCGCTTTCTTCCCCAAGGAGGTACGCGTGCACTTGCGATTGAAGCGGGCGGTAATGACTACAGGGCTGCGGCTTGGGTCCGGGCCCGAGTCTGGCGGCCCACCGGTACACGCCTGCTCGGAGCTGCGGCTCGGGCTCGCGTCCTCGCGATCGGCCCTGCCCTCCAAATCGATCTTGCGCTACAAAATTATACCATTACTCACGCCGGACAAACGGAGGGAGGAGGAAGGGCCCTTGTGGTTAACCGCCCGCCACCCCTTCGCCCGCTCGTACCTCGCGCTCAACGCCGCGAGCTGCACCTCCGCCTCCTTGACCTGTCCCCGTGCCTCATGCGTCTCCGCCCGCGCCTGTGTCGCTTCCGCGCGCGCCCGCTCCGTGTCCTCGCGCGCATGCTGCAGCTGCACCCCCAGCCGCGCAGCCTGCGCGTCGCGCTCCACCGCGGCAAGCTCCAACGCACGTAATGCCGCCCGCGTATCGTCCTCACTGCTGTGAATTGCCCCTGCGTGTGTTGCGTAGGTCGAGTTTAGAGAGCGGCAGGGTGCGGCGTGTGCACGCGGACGGGGTCGTTTTCCATGCCGTGGCGCTACGCTGTCTCTGCTGGCGCGTCGTGTCGCTACGCTATCTAGAGGCTTGGGTGGGGCGGAGGCACGAGGAAGGAAGAGAGCCTTCAAGAGAAGAGAAAATGGCATCAAGATTTGAGCTACGGTGTCGGCTAATCCCTAGCCCGCCGGGAGTCAGCCGACACGCGTCCAGTAGAGCACAGCCTCAGAAATTTTCATCTTCCATACCACATCGTCGTCGTTACCGCTCACCGCTGTATCCGCCTCCTCTTGCTTATTCCTCATCCTTCTGCTCCAATTTGCTCACTCGAGTCGACACTGGATGGAAATTTAGGTGGGCGCGCTTAGGGTATGGGCGTGATCGAGGGTCCCACGGTCACGAGCGTCTCCGTTGACGAAGAGTCGGAAGAGTCATGCTCTTGAGCCTTGGCAAAAACAACGCGCCCATCGTAATATGACCGCAGATTAACGCCCATCAATTCGTGCCATGCTTGACTAACATCGATTGACTTTGGTCAATCTTCCGCGACGATGACCCAGATTCGTGTTTACACATCCAGCCAGATCCAGACCGGTTGCCTCCGAGACTCCTTGAACCACGATTTGCTGACGCTTTGCCAGTTACGTTCTCAGAATGAAAAAAAAGTTCAACTTTCTTTCCCGCATTGGGTTGATCGTGATTCTGAATCCAGATCTCTGCAGATTGTGCTCCCGAGATCAGACCACGATGTTGCTGACGCTTTTCGGATGACGTCCTCAGAACTTGAAGCACGTTCATCTTAGCCGATAATAGTTGACTCAAGATTCAAAATCAAACCATCCATAAACCACGTTCAACTGGGCCGAGACCAAGGTCAAAGTTCCATAATCGTAGCCGACAGCCGACGATAGGACAGCTAATAGACCCACAGCCTCCTGGGTGCACTCTCAAGCAAGCTGGGATATGTGATTTTTCTTCAATCCTCACGAACAGTCCCAGCAATTCACATTTAGGAGAGTGAGTGATCCGGATCCTGGGTAAGGTACAGTCTAGTAGGCGACCCGCGACTGTGGAGGTCCCTTACGGTTGGAAAAATCGATGTTCATAGCCAGATCTAGAGCAATTACCGGGATTAGAAAAAGGTTCTAGCCCAAACGAGGAATGCGGACGCGGGGAGTCGAACCCCGTCTGGCTGCTTACAAATTTCACATGCCCCCGAGAAAGTCAAGGCAGCGGTGCGCCGTGCACCGCATCCGCTTGTTCCTTCCATTCATTCCCTCTATAACTTCAGGCTGTTCAGTGCTCTTCGCAATAAAAAGGAACAGACTACTTAGAAAAGCGGACGCGGGGAGTCGAACCCCGTCCGGCTGTGTGCAAGATAAATCTTCCACATACACAGAATGCAGCCGTGCACCATACACCACGTCCGCTACTCTTCTCTATCCCTGACCAACTCTCATGCAATTATGTCAGGCACTTCCATTGAAAAAATCCGCAGCAAAGAAGCTCAGGCGGATGCGCCCCGTTCAACTGCTTGGAATTCAGTCTGGGATTCCCTACCTAACGCAGTGGTGCACCGCATACCACGTCCGCTCCTACCCTCTATTTTTCTCGATATATCCTTGGAAGGCCTGGAGCAAAAAAAAAAGATCTTGAAGAATGTGGACGCGGGGAGTCGAACCCCGTCTGGCTGCTTCCAAATGTTTGTCAAAAGGTCCCGCAAGTGAGGACAGATGTGCACCGTACACCACGTCCGCTTATTCCCTACATTCCTTACCTCGATACATCCAGCCTTAATCGTTGCTTAATCGTAAGGTGTGAGGTATTTTATGTAAAAAAGGGGTTCGAGACCTCTCAGGCGGACGCGGGGAGTCGAACCCCCTCTGAGTGTTTGCAACTTTGTGGCAATTGTCGACTCGAAGTGCGCCGTGCACAAATCAAGTTATCTGCGGATGAAATTGACGAGCGTCGCACGCCAAGATAGACTCGTAATAATCGGCCCATGGTAAGCCCCGGAAAATCATCCTGCCGACCCTCAAGTTGGTTCGGCCGATCTGCACAATAGTTTGACTCGCGAAGAGGAGCCTTGAGCTCATAACCATCCATGTTCGCACTTGTCACCCCGCGCTCCCGTCTGACAATAAAATGTAATATGTATACAAGACGCGCCATCGCTTCGCTCCGGCATGTGTCTGAGCACCGGATAGTAATTTCGCATGGCCCCAACTCTAGCTTTAAGGTGCTTAAAGTGACTCAGATCCCACCAGAAAGTTTGATCTTGCAGGTCGGGTGGGAGTGTCATTAGGGATGAATATCAGAAATGCACATAGTGGATGTTGTCGTCCGAGACGACACACAGGAAATGCACAACAGGATGGCCCGGGAAATAGTATAAATACGTGAGACAGCGGGCTCGCCTTAAGCGATCACAAAGCAGAGAGAGCACCGGCCGAGGGACCAACAGAGCAGGAGAAAATATTCGAGAAGCCTCGATATTCAAGAATGCCAGCACGACAGCCAGGGAGCGAAGCGAGCTGCAAACAGAGTTGTCGGGCCTTAAATCTCCGGTGGGGAAAAGTTTCTCCGTTGAAAACATGAGATTCTGGCCTCTTTATCTGCAGTAAATCATCCATTAAATTCACGTCATTATTTATATATACAATTTTTTCTCGTTCCTAAAATGATGTGAGTGGCGGGATGGCGCGCAATGTGCGGCCATGCTGCAACAGCCGAGATTGATCAATGATGGATGGCCTTCCCACAACTGACGGCAACCTGATAGCAGGGAGTTGGACCCGCAAACTTGAAAGTTAGGATTTGCCTCAAATCAGGGACCACGGGCCTGGATTTGAGGTGAAAGTGGGGTCTACAGCACTCAAGCACTGATAAACGACGAAAAAACAGTCATAGGCGAATATGTGGCCGCAGCTTACTACCTCGCTGCCCCATTACTGCGAGGACCTGCGGCGACGTCAAAATCACCAGGAAGGGTCAGATGCGTACCTGCGTAAGACCACCTGTTCAGCCGCGGATCAGGTGGAGCAATGGAGTGGGATAAATGGGGCTCAGATTGGCTAGAGCCGGGGGACTGTATACGATGACGAGAAAGATGTAGGAGCAGAGAACAGGGAAGGGGACGAGATAAAGCTACATTAAAGAAAAACCAAACACCTCCCAACGAACGAGGAGGTAATGGTTAAAGAACGGATTAATGAACAGAGCCGCAGTGGGAATTCATTTTTCGGATGGGGATTCGCTGAAGCGTGGGTTCTGCGGTGGAGTCACCCTCCGGCATGCGGTCATTTAAGCAAGATCGGGCCGAGGAGAGGAGAAGGGGATAGACTGAATGGGGATTGAACCAAAAAGCCATGCAATCGGGAGCTAAAAATTGACCAACTGGAATTTCACGAGGCCTGGTCCACAGTCGGAAGCGCGATATCTCGCGAAATTATTCACTGCATGTGGCCAGTACCTTCGGTCCCCGATGTGATGCAAGCGTCTACATCAACGGCATTCCATGCAATTTCCGCAGGCTACCACCTCCCCGCCAAATAGACATCGCGGGATCGGCAGGTTTGCCGGAGGCGGTGCGGACCACGCTTCCGTCAGAAATGAGTCTGAGTTCTAAAAATAATTGCTGTACTAAGATGCATATAAGATTTCCTCCACCTCCCGCTCCTCTCCCACCATCGCCTGCCCCCAACTGGGACTCCTCCATCACTGTCAGTATCGTATCCGCAATCTTCGTCGCTGCGCTCTATCTCGTTGCGGTATCCTTTTGAGCCGGAGATCAGTACTCGTGAGCATCGTGCTGTATCCTATGAGTACTCCGACCTCATATGCCATAGCTCACTCACCGCCATGGAGAAGAAATCAAATGCGCATCAGGAGACTCCCAATCTGGATGACTACTCGTACACTACTCTACAACTCGGAGTATGGCGCGTGTTACTGCACCGGGTTTCCGAGGCATTTACAGCCGGACTCTCGCTGCCCTGGAACAATGGAAGGAGCTAGAGGACCTGGCTCCAATGATCTGGCGCTTTCTGCCGGAGATATCGACTTGGATCCCGCCCTCGTTCTGTCGGCCTTCGTGTTGAGGCTTGGCACCGGCTTGCAAGGGATCTGCCTGTTATACGCCTCCAGCTTACTCCTCCGGACAGTAAGTTGGCTTGCATGAGTGGTATTTCTCACAGCTTGTCTCAGGTTGAAACGGGACTGACTGCTGGAGCTCCTGATGTCAACGCCATTCTATGGGCCATTGTCGTCAGAATCATATGTTCCGTTTTCTTCACGCTGGCTCACTGGGTAAAGTCAGTTATTCAATTGATTCCTCATTGAAACACGATCATGACACCCTTATTTTTAGTCAACGTCTCAACTCCATGCTTCAAACTCGTATTACTCTACACTTCGAAGAATATATGCTGCGAGGTTCGTCAGATACAATTTCAAACGAACCTATCTGAAACCGTTCCAGAAACACTGCGACTCGATCTACCGACAATCGAAGGTAAATTTGAACCTGGATAAGGAGCTGACTTTAATTACAACGATAAATAAAAACACCGAACCTACTGTATCTGCTGAACACTTGGCACGCATTCATATTTCTGACCGGATTGTGCGAACGACCATTCCAACTAACTAACGAGCCAAATTATTTTCACGTCTCAACAAGACAGTGTTGGGATGATCTTCACCTTTATTTCCCTAGTCAGCCCCGTTTTACTGACCAAATTCGGGCGGGGCCTGTGGATGCAAGGTGTGTGTGTGTTTGAGAGTCAAGTCAAGGCGATAATCTGATCTATGGCATATCTTAGCCTGCGTAACATACTCGGACAACGCCAACTACTTGCGTATTCGTGCGCTCAGTTTACCCGCATCCAAGACTTACCGCGAGGACGTCATTGGGGGGAACCTCTGTGCTTGGATAGAGGCAGGTAAAGGGATTGGTTATTTACTTGCAGCCACTACATAAATTCGTCAGAATACAAGAAGGCCAGGATCGACCTGGGTAACGTCTCGGATGTGGCGCCCATGATCCAATACGGGTCGCATCGTTCTCCGATACCCGATATACTGATGGATCTGAGCAGACTCCTGCCAACAGTGCGTCTCTATGTATCAGATATGCGCCAAGGATATTGAACGTTCCGCAGTTCTATTGGGCGGCATGCGCCATTTTGCAGCCGACTGGTTTCACAGTCACCTCTTTGGCGATCCTCCAACAGCACGCGCAGTCGCTGAGTTTCACGGTTCAGAGGGGTCAGGAGAAAATGACGCGGTGACGCGCCATTGACGCGGCACTGACGCGCCATTGACGCGCAATTTCTCACGGCATGCCTAGCCCGTATTTTACCTTCGTTTGGGACTGGAGTTCAGCTCTCAAGCTCTCCAAGTGATTTGGAGCGTGTTAATCATGTTTCTAGTGATGTTTTACCACTTTCATGGAAGAGTTTCAACCCATCCCATTATCTATTGGGTTCAAACTTGGTTCAAACCATGTGTACAGGGGTTGCAGAGTCCTCTGCGAGAGGAACAAAAGATTCCAGGTCTGTAGAGGCTGAGTTGGTCCCAATTTCCAGAGTAGTAGTTGCGCGTTAGTGCCGCGTCACAGCGCGCCGCTACCGCGTCAATGCGCGCCGGTGCCGCGTCAGTGCGCGTCAGTGCCGCGTCAACACAGCCACCGCCGCGTCAATGACACAGCCACCACCCCGTCAATGGCATGCCTAAAACATTGCATGTATTTCATTCGACTTGTCCAAAATACATTTTATTCCTTTACTTATGTGGTTCTGAATGCTCCTGACCCCTGACCTGCCCGTTGCAAGTCTTGGAAAGTATATATTCACTCGGACGGGATTGCCAGGGGCTGGTAAGCGTCAACATTCAATATAAATGTGCACCAATCTTCTGAAAACTTAGCTTTTGAAGGTCGGAGTCTACCACTGACACATTCTGAGCTCCAGAAAGAAATCGTTGCATGCACTTTCGGACACAATCACTCATTGTAACCCGGAGGAGTTATTCAATCTATGCTGAGAGTTGAATTGAGCGAATTGTAGTGGCTTCAAGAACCTGGGGAATCTTGGGTATGGATCAACGATACATGAATCCCCCGTAGCCTCAAGAGGCTCATGATATTGCTTACTATGGTCTCAAAAACCTATCTATCCAAGCATCCAAATTCGAGCTCTATTCAGACCAAAATTCCGCACCCATGGAGTATGAGAGGTAAGGCTATAAATCAACGAAAGGCGAGCCCCATGGATGTGAAGCCTTTGATACGTGGGTCTCTATGTCTTCTTATTTTCTGACCCGGTGAATGGAAAACATGATAGTTCCCATGGTTCAACATGCCGCGGAAGTAGATTATCTGCGGGGCAAACAGCACTATATCAATATGACATTGCTCCCTGACTTTCCG